CTGATTTTTAATTATAGATTTTTTGGTGCTAATTATATATGTCCAATCACAGGGGTGGTAAAGCAGAAGTGTGTTAACTTTATTTAGGATCGACCTTCCAACTTTTGTGTTAACAGTCCGTTAGGCTTCCACCACCCCATGTTTCTACTCGTTTTAATCATCACAAAATTTGCCTTACACAAATTTCCAGATATTTCACCATAAAATCAATTATATTTTTATTTTTGTGACATTATTTACATGACAGTTCCAGTTTACACTTCTGGGTCTATACGACCCCAACAATTGATTGAGTAATGGTACAAAAAATATTCATTTTTATTCATACAAATAATATACAATTTTTTTAGTTTACTTCTCATCTATTCATTAATGCTGTGTTTTTGGAGATATAAAGTACTTTTGTATCCATATACCACACGATTCCTCAACGACACCATTAGCTTGCATATGAAATATTATTTTTTTATGATACATTGGATTTAGGCTCTAGTACTACGCCTTCATTACTGTGTCAACATTTTCAGATTCATGCTGGATGAAGAAAATGTATTTAGTTTTTTTTTCTTCACATTTCCCATTCATTTCAATGTGGGGTCATATTGACCCCGAATACCAGAAGTGTAAACATTTTATTTACATACCTTCAGGACAACCGAATCAAGCCCAGTTTTTGTGTGTGTATAGATAGAGAATGTATGAAAAGTAACAAAATCTTATTCCACTGAGATTTTTTATTAAGTAAAAGTCGATTGGGGTCGTATAGACCCCATGACCTGATTGAGGGCTACTCACATTTTCATATTGTATATTATTATGCATATGAACTGTATGTATGTATATGTGTACTGATTTTAATGTAAAAAATTAGTAATAAAGAAAAATATATATAAATATATGTAAATAAATATATATATTAGGGCTGTGCAAAAATTAATTGCGATTAATCGCATCCAAAATAAAAGTCTGTGTTTACATAATATATTTGTGTGTGCTGTATATAATTATGTTGTATATATAAATACACACACATGTATATATTTAAGAAAATGTGTTATTCATATATAACATATTTATATTTATATAATAAAGATTATGTATTTATAAATATATACAGAATTTAAGCGCAAATAATTCATAAATATATACATGCATGCATAGGTATTTATATATACAAAATAATTATATACAGCACACACAAATATATTATGTAAACACACAATTAACTTTTGCACAGCCCTAATATATATATATATATATTTTTTTTTTTTTCTTTTCTTTTTTTACATTAAAATCGGTACAATAAACACTAGCATATCTACTTAAACTTAAACAACCTACAATTAAACTTAAACATACTTTCTGTATATATATATATGATCATTTGGGAAGGAAATGTGCTTAATTGTCATGTAAATAATGTCACAAAGAAAGCTTTTTGTAATGGTTTATATAATTTCATTTTGATTTTGATTCGGAGGTGAAATATGACCAAACATTCACTCTTCAGACTGACAACTAGTACTCGCATTAAATATTTTTGAAGCATGCTTATACCTCAGATCATTCAATCTACACTTGAAATCGACTAAATCAGTGAGAGTAAGTTCACTAAAGGTGTATGTGTGCTAGGAGCAGGTTACTGTGGAAGGAAGACGTTCTTCAACAACCAGACAGACCTCCAGAAGCACAACATCTGATGGAGTGATTCGACTCGCTGTCCTGCAGAATTTGGTTCCAACCCTAATCAAACACACCTGAACAAGCTAATCAATGTCTTCAGGATTACTAAGGCTATAAGCAGGAGTGTTGGAGCCAAACACTGTAGGACAGCAGCTCTCTAGGGCCGAACTTGCCTACCCCTGTTCTAAGTTCTTGTAAATGAAGTTAAATTGCTGCAATTAAATCCATTTTCACTTTAATTTTGAGTTGATATAAGAAGGGGTCGCTGTGTTTTCGGTTTCAGTGTGCAGTGGTGGAATGTAACGAAGTACAAATACTTTGTTACTTTACTTAAGTACATGTTTCACGTATCTTTACTTTACTTAAGTAGAATAAATAGTGCATACTTTTTACTTTTACTTCGTTACATTTTGCAGCAATTATTATACTTTCACTTTCCATGCGGGTCCATTTGGACCCGAACACCCCAAGTGTGACTATTTTTTACAAAAACACTTAGACTACTCACATCCTGTCCCCAATTTTTTTGGGGTGTTCAAATACCAAATACCAACAAAGTCACCAAATTTCGGACCATTTTGAGGAAGCTGTGATTTAAAAAAAATATATTTAAATTCTTCGGGTCCATTTGGGCCGAACAACCCCAGAGGGTTAAAGAGCGATGATGATCATTTAGGCGTCACATCTTTTAGATGTAAACAATGGATAATGTATGGAATAATTGACGACATCACAACGCTGGAGTCAATTATTCTGCTTATTCTACACCTCTAACATCGTCCAGATATTGTATTTCAAGACATTTGTCAGGGTTTTGTTCTTGTGTGTAGGACTAATTTCACATCCCACGCTGCCATGAGCTAGAAACAGAGGCTTGAGCCACTGATAGCAGAGTAATGCAGTTATTAGAGAGAGAGATTAAGTGTGTGTGAATTACCTCTCTCAAAACTGTAAGTTGATCTGCTTCAAGAACAGCGCTGTTATATTATCTTACTAGTGAGAAATGTCATGTAGCTTTTTGGTTTCTACTCCACTACATTTCTACAACTTCTGTTACTTTTTCATTACATTTTCTGATCAGTGATGTTTGGTTGCCATAGATATATCAACCCGGTCACACTAAATGCGTCTCGGACGCAGTGTGTTTATCGTGCAATTTATTCGCGAAAATTTTTTTTTTACGTGCATAGGAAACGCACCGTGTGTAATATACGTTTGGTTAGGATTATGGCAAGGCAAGAGGTTCAGAATTACACCGTAAATTAATCGCAATTACTGCCAAACATAGTTATTAACATATAGTAAGGAAAAGCATGATGTGTATATTGCCTAATTGCAAGCTTGTTTCAGAAATGGTGAAAACTATTTTTTTCTATAATTATTGAACATCATTATAGGAGTATTAGGTTGAATGAGTTAGAATTAAATGTTTTATTAATCATTAGAAAATAGTCATTAAGAGAATAAATTGTTATGCAAGTACTTTTACTTTTAATACAAAAGTACATTTAAGTACATTTTTCAGGTACTTTTTACTTTTTACTTAAGTACGGTTGCTATTGTGTTACTTCTACTTTTACTAAAGTAAATATTTATCTGGTTATTTGTACTTTTACTTAAGTACTTAGATTCAGTACTTCCTCCACCACTGTCAGTGTGTGATTGGCCTTGTCTGAGTTTTTATATTTACGTAGATATTGTCCTAATTTCCTAGTGAGGGTGATTTAGTGTGTGCGTGTGTGTGACTCGCAGAGTCCCTGTTGTAGAGTGTGGGCTTTATACGTGTGGTTCAGGTAGCCGTATGTGGACGATCCACTGGTAAGCCCGTTTAAATCACCCATAATCCCTTGGGCTCAGCAGTGAATCTCGGTCACTTCCTGTGCTCGGGTCCAGCAGACAAAACACTGCAACAAATAATGAGAGAGAAACACAAAGCTTTCAATCTTGTGCCTGTGCCTATTTAACCATATTTTGTATATTATTGAACAATATAGCTTATTAACCACATTTTGATCTGATATTATGAGCTAAGCCTGGCCAAAAATCATTTTGGGGATGTCTTCATTTTGTAAAAAAAAAAACAATGTAAAAATAAAGATTTTTTTTTTTTTTAAATGCAGAAAGATTTATGTTAGGGTTAGTGTGTGGGAAGTGTTATAGCATAGTTATGCTAGTTAGCTAGTTAGCTGTATCTTCAAAAGAAAATGCAAGTGAATTTGCAAAAACTTGAGCATTAAACTAAAATAAGCCAAAATAAGACACCAGCTGACGGCAAAGTCACTTCATCTTTAGGGTTTAGCTCTAAGAACTTATTGGAAAGATATTTTAATGTAGCTAAAAAAATAAAACATAAAAATAAGCATAATTTACATAGAAAATATGGTACTTTTTGAAGTAAATAAATTCAAAAATACCCCCAAAATATAAAAAAACACCATAAATGATAGATGATGATTGATACTCACAGATCTTCATGAACACCATAAATCATCATAGATGATGATTGATACTCACAGATCTTCATGGTGTGTGTCGTCAGGTCAGAGTGTGTGTTCTAGTAAGAGTGTGATGGCTTTATACTGTACACATGGATGATTGGGGAATCCCTCAGTGATGCTCTAAACCTCACTGGTGTGCTACACACACACACACACACCCACAGACAGAGAGAGTTTTTCTTTTGGTTTGTTGTTGTGCTGAAACTGGAATAAACACACACGCTCGCATCATCAGTGACCTCAGCACACACACACTGACATTTCACTTCATTCAAAAGTCACAACCACAAATCTCAATTGTCATCAATACCTGAGTGATGATGATGATGATGATGATGATGATCTGCTGTAGTCTTCTCACTCTTCATCACACGATGTGGTGAACTTACAGGATTTCTTTTTGTCGCAATAATGTGTAATAACAGTCATATTCGGCCTCAAATAGAACATGAGGCATACATTTACTTGATCTGTGGGAGTGACAAATTTCCAAAGTGAAACACATTCATTTACAAAACGGCAAATAATTGAGCCGAGGAAGAAAAGCCACTTCTGAGATGACTAACGGCGTTTCTGGAAACGAGAGTCACTGAAACTGGATGAAAGAAAATGTACAGTACATCACATCTGAAACACTTACAGTGTTAACATCAGTGAATGCACTAACATGAACAGCTGGATTGACATTATTAACAAATACTGTAACAAATACTGTACTGCTCATTGTTCATGTTAGTTAATAATGCTAACTGATAATGAACCTCACAGTTAATCCGTTTCATTCTACTGTAGATCATAAAGACGACCCAGCAGGCCACAGTGTATGAAACCAAGTTTTATTTTTCTTATTTTATACATATCTGTACATAAGCATCTCCCTCAAATAAACAATCTCAATACAATAGAATGAAAATGATATTAACACACTTATTATTATTCAAATGACTCGTGTCAGAATCAACATTCACGAACCGTTGAAAACCAGTCGGAGTGAACGTCACCGAAAGCTACAGGTCGAGTACAAGGCAGGCGTGCTTCCCTCCTCACACACACACACACACACACACACACACACACACACACACACTGTCCACCTGGAGCACGACACGGGGAAATCACGGCTGTTCAGAACACTCTTTTTCTTCTTCTTTTCTAAAACTTGAATTCAATTTCTCATTGTATGCTTTGACGGTTATAATTTAGTGGCAACGGTAAGAGACGGCAGCGGATGAGTGAGCGAAGGCCGAGCGCTGGAGTGTGTGGGACGTCCCGTGTGTGTTATGATGAACCACAGAAGCAAAGGAAAGGTGTGTGATCTGATCTGATGGTGTGGAGGGTTCTTCATTTAGTTGGCGTTTTCTCTGCCAGGTGTTTCTGCTGGCTCTGAGCGTGCCTGTGGACACACACACACACACACACACACACACACATTGAGTTTTAATGTTTTTTAGGACTCTCCATAGGTGTATATTCTCTCTCCTTACCCTAAACCTACCCATCACACACACATTAACCCGACCCCTAAACCTACCCATCACACACACACACACACACACACACACACACACACACACACACACATTGAGTTTTAATGTTTTTTAGGACTCTCCGTAGGTGTAATGGATTTTATACTGTACAAACTGTATATTCTCTCTCCTTACCCTAAACCTACCCATCACACACACTAACCTGACCCCTAAACCTACCCATCACACACACTAACCTGACCCCTAAACCTACCCATCACACACACACTTACCGACCCCTAAACCTACCCATCACACACACACACACACACACACACACACAGAGTAGTTAAGCAGTAAACACAGTCTTGTGGGTAGTTATAGTAGTTAAACAGTAAACAGTCTCGTGGGTAGTTATCGTAGTTAAACAGTAAACACAGTCTCGTGGGTAGTTAGAGTAGTTAAACAGTAAACACAGTCTTGTGGGTAGTTAGAGTAGTTAAACAGTAAACAGTCTTGTGGGTAGTTAGAGTAGTTAAACAGTAAACAGTCTTGTGGGTAGTTATAGTAGTTAAACAGTAAACACAGTCTTGTGGGTAGTTAGAGTAGTTAAACAGTAAACAGTTTTGTGGGTAGTTAGAGTAGTTAAACAGTAAACACAGTCTTGTGGGTAGTTAGAGTAGTTAAACAGTAAACAGTCTTGTGGGTAGTTATAGTAGTTAAACAGTAAACACAGTCTTGTGGGTAGTTAGAGTAGTTAAGCAGTAAACACAGTCTTGTGGGTAGTTAGAGTAGTTAAACAGTAAACACAGTCTCGTGGGTAGTTAGAGTAGTTAAACAGTAAACACAGTCTCGTGGGTAGTTAGAGTAGTTAAACAGTAAACAGTCTTGTGGGTAGTTAGAGTAGTTAAACAGTAAACACAGTCTTGTGGGTAGTTAGAGTAGTTAAACAGTAAACAGTTTTGTGGGTAGTTAGAGTAGTTAAACAGTAAAGACAGTCTTGTGGGTAGTTAGAGTAGTTAAACTATAAACAGTTTTGTGGGTAGTTAGAGTAGTTAAACAGTAAACACAGTCTTGTGGGTAGTTAGAGTAGTTAAACAGTAAACAGTATTGTGGGTAGTTATCGTAGTTAAACAGTAAACAGTCTTGTGGGTAGTTAGAGTAGTTAAACAGTAAACACAGTCTCGTGGGTAGTTAGAGTAGTTAAACAGTAAACACAGTCTTGTGGGTAGTTAGAGTAGTTAAACTATAAACAGTTTTGTGGGTAGTTAGAGTAGTTAAACAGTAAACAGTCTTGTGGGTAGTTAGAGTAGTTAAACAGTAAACACAGTCTTGTGGGTAGTTAGAGTAGTTAAACAGTAAACACAGTCTTGTGGGTAGTTAGAGTAGTTAAACAGTAAACAGTCTTGTGGGTAGTTAGAGTAGTTAAACAGTAAACACAGTCTTGTGGGTAGTTAGAGTAGTTAAACAGTAAACACAGTCTTGTGGGTAGTTAGAGTAGTTAAACAGTAAACACAGTCTCATGGGTAGTTATAGTAGTTAAACAGTAAACAGTCTTGTGGGTAGTTAGAGTAGTTAAACAGTAAACACAGTCTTGTGGGTAGTTAGAGTAGTTAAACAGTAAACACAGTCTTGTGGGTAGTTAGAGTAGTTAAGCAGTAAACAGTCTTGTGGGTAGTTAGAGTAGTTAAACAGTAAACAGTCTTGTGGGTAGTTAGAGTAGTTAAGCAGTAAACACAGTCTTGTGGGTAGTTAGAGTAGTTAAACAGTAAACAGTCTTGTGGGTAGTTAGAGTAGTTAAACAGTAAACACAGTCTTGTGGGTAGTTAGAGTAGTTAAACAGTAAACACAGTCTTGTGGGTAGTTAGAGTAGTTAAACAGTAAACAGTCTTGTGGGTAGTTAGAGTAGTTAAGGCACGCTGAAATAAAGTATAAGCAGAATTTGTCCTTCACTGCTGCTGCTTTTACACCATCACGTTTCTCTGAATATAAAGTGGCCTTCAGTGGTTTGAGTCAGATGCTGGTGTGGTGGACCGCTCACAGGAGACGGGGGACACACACTCACTCACACCTACTGTTTAATGTCCACGTTAGCCACTCCTGGCCGGACCTCTTCAAGGGAAGGGTCTATGTATGGCATTTTCCAGATCTTTCGATCTTATGGACAAAAGAAGCTTGTGTAATTTACACATGAACACGACGGACAGCATCACCTGTAGTGTCTGCTCTGACAGCTGAACACTGTGAGTGTGTGTTAGAAATCAGGAGTGGAGAGTGGAGAAATCCCATAATGTTCCCGCATTAGTCCCACACCGCAGCATCGTGTCGGCCCACAACCGGGACACTTGTTCACTTGATCCGATCCACCAAAACACATCTCAATACCAACATAGTTCGGCCCAGATCCGGCCCATATCCGGTACACTTGGATCCGCACACGGCCTGGATGTGGGCCGGATCTGGGCTGAAATATGCTGCCTGAAGGCTTCCTACCATTAAACTGATTGGGTGTGTGAAGCAGGAGCTGCTCACCTGGTGAAGTCCTCGATGTCCACTAACATGGCGTCCTGCTCCATCTGAAGCTCGTCCCGCACCAGCAGCAACTGCACCAGCTCTTCATTCAGACCTGCACAGCAATCACCCGTCAGTGTGTGTGTGTGTGTGTGAGTGTGAGCGTGAAAGTAAGTGTGTGTTACCCTCGATCTGTGAGTGCAGGTCGTTGACGATGACCTGCAGCTGTCCCAGTGTCATGTCTCTGAGGTCTGTGGGCTTCAAACTCCTCTTCATCAGACATTCACTGATGTGTGGCATGTGAGGAAGCTGGAAACACACACACACACACACACAGAGTGAATACTAGGACTCAACCAACAAACATTCCCAATAAGTTGTGAAAACATTATTTCTGTATGTTCAAAACATGAAAATATAAGAATGCTTTTTTGTTGGTTATATGAACATTCCATTTAATCATTAATCAAAAATGATGGAATGTTACTTTTGAATGTTTTCTGAACGTTCTAAAACATGTAGTAAAATGTTTTTTGATGGTTATATGAACATTCAAATCCATTTATCATTATTTAAACTATATGGAATGATACTTTTGAATGTTACTGTTTGGTCTTCATAACGAAGCGTTAGCTACAGTTCTGAGAACGTTGCCTGAGGGATATGAATGATGTAAGGGGTGATGTGTGATGGTGAGGAGATATGAACGAGCAGTGTGTTTCTCCGAGCTCCGCGTGTCATTGCTGTGTGTGAAGGGCATGACGGAGACTAGAGAAAAGCTTAACGTCACAGAAACTAAAGCAGGTTTTTGACATTACAAATACTAGTATCACACATGGTAATTCTGCATCAGCTCCAGGTAAAACACCATCTGAAAGTTCCCAGGAGGACTCGCTTCAGACTGACACCGTTCTACTTTCACTTCATACTTCACATGCTTTTCCTACTAAAAATGTTTTTCCCCATTAAAGCTGTGTGAGATAATAAGGAGCTGGACTGTTCAAAGATTTATGAAACATCAGCCAATTCCTCCCCAAATTACGTGTAGAAACTTCATTAATCGCAATGATCCAGACACAAGGAGATAAAGCACGAGACAGTGTGTGAGGAGATGCAGGATAAACTGAAGAAACTCAACACTGCTCTGCATTAAAACACACCGATATCTGTGGATCGATACAAGTGCGCTTTCAGAAAATCAACCAATCAATCAATCAATCAATCAATCAATCAATCAGTCAATCAATCCATCCATCCATCCATCCACGCATCCATCATCCATCCATCCATCATCCATCCATCCATCATCCATCCATCCATCCATCCATCCATCATCCATCCATCCATCATCCATCCATCCATCATCCATCCATCCATCCATCCATCATCCATCATCCATCCATCATCCATCAATCCATCTATCCATCCATCCACGCATCCATAATCCATCCATCCATCCATCATCTATCCATCCATCCACGCATCCATCATCCATCCATCCATCCATCCATCCATCCATCCATCCATCCATCCATCCATCCATCCATCCATCCATCCATCCATCCATCATCCATCAATCCATCCATCATCCATCCATCCATCCATCATCCATCCATCCATCCACGTATCCATCATCCATCCATCCATCCATCATCCATCCATCCATCCATCCATCCATCCATCAATCCATCCATCCATCATCCATCCATCCATCCACGCATCCATAATCCATCCATCCATCCACGCATCCATCATCCATCCATCCACGCATCCATCATCCATCCATCCATCATCTATCCATCCATCATCCATCCATCCATCCATCCATCATCCATCCATCATCCATCCGTCATCCATCCATCATCCATCCATCATCCATCCATCCATCCATCATCCATCCACGCATCAATCCATCCATCCATCATCCATCCATCCATCATCCATCCATCCATCATCCATCCATCCATCCATCATCCATCCGTCATCCATCCATCATCCATCCATCCATCATCCATCCATCCATCATCCATCATCCATCATCCATCCATCCATCATCCATCCATCCATCCATCATCCATCCATCATCCATCCATCATCCATCCATCCATTCATTCATCCATCCATCCATCATCCATCCATCCATCCATTGAACATTGAATCGACTGGTATTTTGCTGCGTTCAAGTCCTCCTGGGAAGTTCGTATGTACGAGGTGGGAAGTCGTGTTTACGACGTGAGGTGCGTTCAAGTCAGTTTCATCGGAGCAAAATGGCGGTGTACCTTCTTTTAATGAATTACAGGAAAATACAGCAAGGTTGTTTAACTCAGCTAATAAAAAAGAAGAAGAACAAAGAATGCGCATCAGGTGTGTTTTTCTTTTTATGGTTTTTATTAGCTTATGAAGCCAATGCAAACTCTATCATTAGGTATAATTTTTATATTATAATGATATCATATTTTGTGCAGAGAGCTTGCTTTATAAATGAAAAAGCCTTACAATGTCAATGAGTAAACATTGAAATTCAATTAAAATTTACCAGTCAACAGACGTTGAATGAACGTTTCTCACTGACACGCCCCCAACTCGTACAGATCAAGGCTTAAAGAAAATCCCGAGCTCCCCACTGGTATTTACGACATTGTGGTGGCGTTCAAGTGCGCTCAACTTGTAATTACGATCTATACGAGATGACTTGAACGCAGCATTCGGATAAGTATCCATCTCAGTATCCAGCCTGAAGTATGGAAACTTGTTTCCACCACACAATAAAACGTTTTATTACACGGCTCTGGAATGCTCGATTCTGATTGGTCAATCGCTCCATCCCGCGGTGTGATATTCCCAGATAACAGAAACACGGGCTCATCCGGGTCACTCGCTAAGAACAGGTTTTCATTCTGGAAGTTTTATGTTTGGTGAGCTAATGAAGTATTATACCTCAATCAATATTTGTGTACAGTTATTAAATGATGCCATCCGGTATCAGGGACTCGCTCTCTCTTGTGTGACTATTGTTCCGTTCACTGTTGGATTATGAGATACAAACAGGTGTGATTTTAATACAGTTTCATCTGAAATCAATATCTCTTATCCCCATAATTATATATATATAATATATATATATATATGTGGTGAAATGGTGTGTAATAAGTGGTATGATTTGATCACTCCCCCAGAGTTAAACAGTTGAGTTTTACTGTTTTCGAATCCATTCAGCCGATTTTCTGATATTTAGAAGAATATCAGTAACCAGACAGTTCTGGTCTCATTGACTTCAATAATAGGAAAAAAATATACTATGGAAGTCAATGAGACCAGAAACTGTCTGTTTACTGATATTCTTCTAAATATTAAAAAAAAGGCTCAATACATTCAAAAATGGTAAAACTCAACTGTTTAACTCTGGGGGAGTGATCAAATGAGCCTATTTCCAAAAAAAAGTGGAGTATCCCTTAAAAAAATAATTGCGACTTTATATCTCCAAATTGCGATTATATCTTGCAATTCTGACTTTATAACACAAAATTGTGACTTTATATTACACAATTGTACTATAAATTTGTGAGACCAAAAGTTTTTATTTTTTCATTCTGTGGCGGAAACAAGCCTCCATATGAAGCGTCTGATGTTATAGTTTACAACACGCCAGAAATCAGCATGAGAAGACGTCAATTCTCATCTATAAGCACTGGACGACCTCAGGAGCAGCATGAACGTCTCAGACAGTCTCACACAGACAGATGTGGAGGATCGGACGGGTCGTGCAGTGAAACACACCCGTTACTGGGTTCACTGGTGCAAGGCTGCATGAAGTGACCTGATGAAGGCTGAAGCCAGTGTGAGTTTAGTGTGTCAGTGATGAGTTTGAGATGATCTAATCATGGGCTGCCCCTCTGAGGAGAAACAGCATCATAAGCCCCATCTTAAGAGTGTTTCCAAGGAATTCACACAGCCAGAGGAATCAGCGCGAGTGTGTGTGAGAGAAGGACTCGTGCGGTTTCACTGTGGGCGGCAGAAGACGCTCCAGCTCCAGAGAGGAAGTGTGTGCCAGCTGCTTCCTGCTTGTGTGTGTGTGTCATAGTTTCAGCTCGGGGGTGACAGACGGGAGAGCCAGTCTCGGATCGAGACGTCATCACCATTACTGATTTAAAAGCAGAGCACCTAAAACGTGTCATGATCACCACACACACCACGGACTGCCCAGCCAACCACAAAACATGTCAATGTGACCGCACAGGTTCAGGAGAGGGAATTGCCATGAGTTATTAATATACTGCACTGTAATCTATATTCTACTTAATAATGACCATCGTCATACTAGCAGAAGTTATTAAAATGACACGAATTTCACACTTACTGTGTCAAGATTGAACTAATGTGGGGCTTTATGGTTTCCCATGTGAAAAAGAAGAACACTTTAGCATACTTCATTTAAGTCTGACCTTTGTAGGACTTACAATCATCTTTATGTCATTTGATGTTCCTTCTGTTGTTTTTAAAATATGTGTACTGACAAGCATTTATGAAAATTTGTACTGAAACTTTTATATGTAATGATGAAACTTCAATTTAGCACATTAATAACTTTGATATCAAATAGCACACTACAATTAAATTAAAAGCAAATGTGCTTCAGTAAGTTAGTCAGGATCAATTTCAGAGCACTCCTTTAAAGCACAACACACGATTATCAAAACACTTTGAAATTAGACTGTCGACTTTTAAGTGTACTAAAGAGAGGGGGTATCCTGAAGAACAGCCCTGAACATGTGATCTCTTTTTCCATTAATACTATATTATCTGCAGGTACATTTGAAAAATATACCTATAAATCTTATCTATAAAATATACTTCTTTAGATTTGAAGTACACACTTCTAAGCACTAAGCACACTAGGGTTATTCTTGATAAATAACTGTTGTGCTTACTGAGAAAAAGTGTGGAGAAATGACAGGCCAAAGTCTTTCATAATCATTGACAATTTCTGTTTTGCAGCCCTCACACACACACACACACCGCACGAGTCTGGTGTGTGTGAGAGAGCGTGACCCGAGAGCACGTACCAGGTCTGCCACCGGGGACTTCTTGCGGTTCTGCTTCTCCACCTGCACCTGCATCTTGGCCATGGGTTTGGCCATCGCGAGCGCCAGCTTGGCCTCGGCCTGCAGCTTCTTCTGCCGGCTCAGGAAGTCCATGTCCTCCAGAGACTCGCAGTCGTCCTCCGTGGTGTCTCTGTCCGAGTAGGACGAGCTCTGCTTGCTCTGAGGACAGAAGATAATGATTCTTCATCTGACTGACTGTGCGCTATTTCCTAATGTAATACAAAAGTATATTAACAGCAGAACAAAATAAAGTTGTGTTGAAATGTGAACATGTGTATGTGTGTGTGAGTGTACTTGTACAGCTATCTTTGTGGGAACCGGTTTGAGTTTTAGACTAAGAGAGTAAAGTGAGGACATTTTGTTTGGTCCTCCCCACACAGGAACAGTGTCGGCCCAGATCCGGCCCACATCTGGTACACCTGGATGTGTTTTGGTGGATTAAATCACAAGTAGACGAGGGACACACATTCCCATTTAAGCCTGGTGTTTTAATCTGTCTCTTTTTTCCACTGTCCTGTCCAGTCTCAGGGCCTATGGGCGGGTGAAGTAACACATAAGCGTTTACACCACGAAAGGAATCCGGCCGACGTCTCTGGGCCGTCTGGAATCAAGTGTAACCTATGTGAGCCGGATCTGGGCCGACACTACACCATATAGAGAGCCTAAGTCCCGCCCCTCCGCTTCCGGCTCATGGGACCTTATTTCGGAAAAAATATGAATGGTAGTCAATGGCGAGAGACATCTAATCTTTTTATTCCGTCTGAACTGTGCCCTCAATTACACATATGATGTTTGTCAATTTAAAAGATAATTCTGAAAGTCAAAAAAAGTTTTGTTTGTCATACAACAGAAGAGTAACATTTAGTTTTATGTGAAAATCGCTCTGCGAACTACATCTCCCGGGAAGCGAAACGAGATCCGCTGCTCGTGTGTGTGCAGTCTGGTACGAAACACTCAGGTATGACGGCGTAACGTTAAGATTATAACGTAAGACTGTAGAAACAATGACAGACAGCCTCAGTAAAGTAAGCTTCATTCATTGGGAGAAAATGTGCGCCTTTGGGGTTTGTAGTCTTTGTAATTACGTATTTTCACAGTCTTATATCTCAACGGTGACTTTCTTTACTTTAAAATGTTTTTTTTAAATTGACAAACATCATATGTGTAATTCAGGGCACAATTCAAACCAGATCAAAATATTTGTTGTCTCTCGCCATTGACTACCGTACAATATCTTTCCGAAATAAGGTCCCATGGTGGTCGACCGGAAGGGGAGGGGCTTAGGCTCTCTATTGCCAAAGGTCTTGGGCAATTTGGCCTTTACGTCTGTCTTTGCAGGCACATGAACTTTAATGCCATCCCATTCCTGATCCGTAGGGTTTAATATGGAGTTGGCCAACCCTTTGCAGCCATAACAGCTTCAACTCTCCTGGTAACACCATAACCCCCTCCACCTAACAACCCCACGCCATAATCCATCGGATTGCTAGACAGAGAAGTGTGATTCGCACTACGCACTGTTCTTGAGCTTATTTTAAGGCCACACAAAGTTTGGAGGTCTGGTGCCAACGTATGCACACTGTGAGCTTCAGTATGCACTGAGCCGCTCTGGGATTTCACGTGGTCGACCACTTCATGGGTGAGTTTCTGTTGCTTCCACTTTGTTATAACAGTTGAGTGTGGAATATGTTTT